CCACAGCACCACACCAGGACTCCATAGTATATATAACTGACAAAATCTGTGTGAATTGACAGTTGATGTGATTGGTAAGGCCAACATTAAGGTCAATAGTAGACGATTGGGGAGTCAAAGGTATATGTGCATTTTCGCTGCTAACTCCCACACTGTTCAAGGACAAGTTACCGAAATCCTAACCTTGGCACCAGTGACCGTGACCTTGTTTGGAAATGGGGCCTTTCAAGATGTGGTCAGCTGAAGGTAATATGAAGTCCTATTGTTTAGGGTGGGTCCTTGTTAAAGAGGAGAAGGTTCACAGGGACCACCAGAGGCTGGAAGAGACTGGGAAAGATTTTCTCCTAAAGAGTAGAGTAGACACGGCCCTGCTGATACCTGAGCCTGGGCCTCTTCCTTCCACGCATCTGTGACACAATACCTATCTGTCATTCAAAGCCACCCACTTTGTGGTACTTTGAACGGCCCTATGATGTGAGTGCTTGGCCCCATGTGAGCTACTGTGGTTCCTGACATTTCCTTCCACTCCTTGGTTGTCAGGGGCAACATTCCATTCTGCTGTGCACAGGGTCGTGGGTGGGTGGGGTCTGAGCCAACTCAGTGGCCACTAACAGAAAGGACTAAGGGCTCAGCCATGGGTAGCCCAGCCTGAAAGAGGGGCAGTGAGAAGATGCGGTAGCAGAGGCCCTGAGAGGAAGCCCCTGGAAGTTTCAGGAAAAGGGGCGGAGCCAGAGGTGAGTTTCCTAGTGTAGTGTTGTAGTTCTCAGTGTCTGGGTGTCTCAATGATCTAACACTGCTGCTATAACAAATACCACAAGGGGTGGCTTTCGTAAACAGAAATAGATTTTCTCGTTGTTAGGAGGCTACAAGTAGGAATTCAGGGTGCCAGGTGTAGGAGGAGATTTTCTCTCTGTTCCCTCTGTGTCTCTTTAGCTTCTGCTTCCTGGCTTCTTAGGGATTTCATTGTGTCTTGCATCTTTCTTTCCCCAGCTCTACTTTTCCTTCATACTTAATCTCGTTTATATCTCAAAATACATTGACTCAGAATGTTCTCTACACCAATCCTGTCTCATAAATGTAACAAAGACGGTTGATTACCAAGTGGGGCTATAACCACATAGAGGTTAGGATGGGTAACCCGTATTTTGCAGGGGACATGACTCATAGCCACCCTGTATAGTGTTTCCAAGGCTACAAATCTTTGCAGGAGTAGAAAGCCTCATTTCTCCCACGTAGCATCTGGTGGGCTTGAACCACTGACCTTGTGTTTGCAGTCCAGTGCTTATCCTACAGCACCCCAAACAAAACAAACAAATCCGTTTCATCTAGATCACTGTGTGAATAATTCTTTCTGTAAGGAAGGAGGGCATAGGTAGGCATAGATTTTCACAGGAAAGTTGTAGAAGTTTCATATCATGAGGAACTAGATCCCTTGCATGTTATGGTGCTAGGAAAAGTCTTTCCCATACTTGTTTTCTACCGGTCTGAACGTTTCTCCCCCTCACCCCCAAATATAAGGACATTTTTGACTGAATTCAGAGTTCAAACCCCAAACCCAAACCCATTAGTGTTGAGGTGACTCTGACTCATAACGACCCCATGTGAAAGCAGCCGCACAGGGTTTCCTGGGTGTGACCTTTGGAGGGGTACACTACCAGACCTTTCTTCTGTGGGGTTTTTAAGCATTGCGCTGCCACGACTCCTTGGACTTGAAAGTGAATGTGATAAAGTAAGCATGTCCAATCCAGAGTCTGTTGTGTAAAGTATTTTCAGTGTTGGGGCCCTGCTGATGCTTCCACTGAGGTTTGGAGAAATGTGGACGGTTGATTATTCTTTTCTGCTGGTCAGGTCAAATTTCTCAGTGTTGACAACCATGTCCTTGCTGGTACCCTCAAAGACACTTAATTGCCTCGGCCCCTACCTCCAACTACCTATCTTCCTGTATTTTTTATAGTAGTAAGATAGACATTTCATAAAATTGACCATTTCACTCATATCTGAGTGACGTTAAGTACCCTCTCAGCTCTCTCTAGTCACTCCCATCTGCTTCCAGACGGTTCCCACCCCAAACAGAAACCCTAAAGGCTTATTAAAGGCTCATTCCCCACAGGTGATATAGACAGTGAAGCATGAGATTGCTAATTGAAAAGGTCAGCAGCTCAAGCCCACCTGAGGCTTTTCAGAATGCAGGGCTGTTGGTCCACTGCCTGAGGGTCACATACGTAACATGGGGTGGCACCCTTCTGCTGAGCACCCCTGGGTTACAGTGAGCCAGGATTCACCCGGCAGCACCAGGGCTCCAGCCCAGATACCCCGAGTCTACTTGCTGTCCCTCTGAATGTGCCTGTTTTGTAGGAAACCTGTCCCCTGAGAGCCAGCCAGTCCTGCTCTGGGGGTTCCTGTTTTTAGCCCACTTGGCACCCAGACTCCCTCCTTCTTGCTCAGACTGTGTCCCCGACGCCTTCCTGGAGAGCTCACTGGCCCGGCAGCCGCCCTTGTCTAATCCTGGCTGTAGAAGAGCTCCGACAGGCTCCGGATTGGGCTTGGTGAAGGGAGAGACGAGGGAGCCCAGTTTCTGTGTGTTATCTCTGGAGAATGAAAAAAGATAGCAGTGAAAACAATGCAAAGTTAAAGTGCCGGAGAATCCAGACGAAGTGGGCCTCTTGTATTTCTAATTATTTTGTGTGTGTGGGCATTTTTTTTAGAGTATAGCACGCATTCAGTCAAGTGTATGAATCTGAACTACGGAGTTCAAATTTACAGAGGGACACACTCATGTAACCATTGCCCACTGCAACTTCAAAACATTTTTGGAAAAATGCCACTATCTTCATTTCATAAACGGTTTGAAGCCCTCTGATATACCCTCTCTAAATGACCTCCTTTAACTGACTCCAAAGGAGCCCCCTGGTCAACCACAGACGGTGTTGTCTTCCCAACTCATTGGTGGTGGTTATGTGCCATGGAGTTGGTTCCGACTCATTGTGACCCTGTACAGGGTTTCCGAGGCTATAAATCTTTACAAGAGCAGAAAGCCTCATCTTTCTCCCGCGGAACAGCTGGTAGTTTCGAACTGCTGGCCCTGAGGTTAGTAGCCTGACTCATAACCACTACAGTACCAGAGCTCCACAACTCAGTGGTGACCAGGAATGGAGGGGGTGATGGACCAGCAGGAGGCCCGAGGTGGTAAACATGGACTACTAACCCAAAGGCTGGTGGTTAGAACCCACCTAGAGGTACCTCGAAAGTAAGACCTGGTCATGTGGCCTTGAAAAGCCCCTGCACGCATGGGGTCTGCCCGTGAGTTGGAATTAACGAGATGGCACTGGTTTTCCTTTTCCTCCCCCTGTGCCCCCAGATTTTATTGGTATTTTTATTGTAGTATTGATGAAAGTGGACCAGCTGGCTTGTTGGAATGATGTTGGTTGGCATCTGTGTGGTGTAACTAAGGTGCCACTCTGCAGAGCTCTGCCCTCCACCCACCGTGAGAAGGAGCCACCGGAGTGCTCTGGGGGCGGGGAGGGGAGAGGTGGGCTGGGCCCTTTGGAAAGGAAGCTCCAGGGGATGAAGTGATTGCCACCCGTGGTTGGAGGCAGAGCGGTGTTCGAACTCGGCTCTGACGCTGTGCTCTGAACTGCGGTACTTTGTGCTGAAGGGAAGTGAGTTGTTGCTACCTGGATTTTGTAGCTGCAGAGACAGGCTCTGAGAGGGTGTGCCACTGTCTGGGTTGTTCCCCAGACAACCCTCTGAGGTGTTAGGGCTGCTGGAACAAGACCCAGTGGTGGCAGGCTCTGGAGAGCAGACCCGGGCCCCCTCCCAGTTCTGGAGGCTGCAGGTCTGAGACCAGGGTGTAGGCTGTGTTAGTTCCTCCAGGTTACAGGGATGCTGCTGTCCTAGTGCCCGCAGTTCCGGCATTCCCAGTCAGCAGGGTACCCTCCGTGCCCAGCACGTCACAGATGTGGGGAAACCCCTGAGAAATTGTTCACCCCCCATTAACAAGGAGGCACTAGAGCTGCAAAGCCCTAACTCCATGTTTGTGAGTTAACCCGTGCCTGGCTGCAGCTGCCAAGTCACATGACATCCTACCGCTGTTGCTCTGCCCCTGACACCATTCAGATAGGATGAGGGCATGCCCTCTCCTTGTTCACTGATGCCATCCGTAAAGACCCTGTTTGCCAACAAGGGCACACTCATGGCACCAGGGTACAACTGTGGCATATTTCAGGGGGGCACAGTTCACCCCATAATATAGTCCTGTGGTCTTGAGTTTTGTGGGATGAACAGAGCCGCTGGTGTCTGTGGGTGTTGCCTCACTAACTCCCTTGTCTGCCTTTTTAGGTTGCTCAGAAGAAAGGAATGGAGAACCCTTCTCTTGGCCCTGAGGTTCTGTCGGTTTTTGTGCCTCCCTTTATCAACAAGGGAGAGAGTTACATGCCCAGTTCAAACTATGACACCCTGGGTAAAACCAGACGGCGTTCCTTCCGAAAGAAGAGAGACAGATCCAAACCTGAGCACTGGACAGGCTCCCCCGGGGACCTGAACATGCCAGAGCCTGAGGACATCAGTGTCCCTAACGACGTGGACCTGCTTGCTCTGCCCCAGCTCTGCTTCCCAGGTACTGTTGCAGGGCGGAGCATCAAGGTGGTGGCCTGGAGAACAGCTTGTGTCTAGAGACACACACAGGAAGGAAGTGAGAGTGGAGGCCAGCCCGGGACCCTTTATGGCTGCTTTGTGGCGGATCAGGGGATTTATTTAATTTAATCGTGTGATTTCAAAGCTAAAAGGGAATTTTTTTTTTTTTTAAATTGTAGTTTGCATGGAAGTTCAGAGAGCAGATTCAATAGTTTATATACATCTTGCTTCATGACATTGGTTACAGTCTGCTCTGTGTAATGGTGTTCCTTCCACATTCTCCCTGGATTCTTTCCTGCCTTCTGAGCTTGGTTTTGGGGTAAATACTGCCCTTGTGGGGTAAAAGGAAGCATGAATCAGTTCGTGAAGTCCTCGTTTTAAGGGAAACTAAGACCTAGGGAAGTGGCTGCACAGCCCCCCAGGTAGCATGGATGTGGGTGGACAAGGGGGCTTCAGAAAGTTGGTGGAAAAGTAGAATGGAGAGATTATGGCCTTTTTCTACAAATCTCCAAGGCTTTCAGCTTTGGGTGAAAATAAAGCCTTGAAGAAGCTCACTGCTCCTGTTAGCTCACCGAGTTGGTGGCCTCATGACAACTCCAAGCACATTGGAGTGAAATGCCGCCAGCAGCCTGGCTCCGTGCAGTTCCTGTGGTGGGTCGTAGATTGGACCATAGAGTAGTTGTTTTTTTAAGTTTTTATTGTGAATTGAGTGATAGTTGACATGGGAGAACATCGATTTTACACCCATCATTTCATTGCAATGATTACAATCCCTGTGCATCATCAGTAAGCAGTATTTGCTTCTAATCCTTACGTTTTTTTTTTTATGTACACCAAAACAGGAATATATAATAATTTAAACAACCAAAGGACACATTCTGCAAGTCTGCCACCTGGCCACCAGCACCTAACCCCTCTCTTTCCACGACTCTAGAGTCCTCACTCCACGTCCTATCTCTGCCTCCATCACTCCACGTCCTATCTCTGCCTCCATCACTCCACGTCCT